AACACTTCCACTCGAAATGGAAGTAAGCTCAACAATTATGAAACAAGAGAGTCCTCGAAACCCAACTTTTATTCGCAGTTTACGAATCCCTTCCACTCGCCTCTTTAAACGAAATGAAAGTCACTCCAACACGAATTTATTAAAGCAATTCTCGGAAACTTGTTTTTCTACTTTTTCAGCTCTGCCGGCAGTCTCACAAACCTGTTTATGATACGAAAAATGCCGAGCCTTCCCTTAAATTTGACACGTATGTTGTGACCCTTGTTCCTCGAACCAACTTTACTTGTTGTGCTGTCATGTTTGTCTTTGTGCTTGATGAATTGTCGTAAAGCATGCTCTCCTGCTCTGACGATGTTCGTCACATGACGGGCGAGAGCTCCGTAAGGATTCATCGGGGTCGCGCCGAAGACCTGTTCGCACAATCTCTACAATCTCTGTCAAACCGCAACCCCCCCCCCTTCCACAGCTTTCGGTGAAGCCAATTTATGAATCCGTTCCATTCGCCTCTTCAAAAGAAATGAAAGGTATGCCAACGGATCTGATAAAATTTCGTTTCGGATACCGAGGGACTGGCAGTTGGAATTTCCCACAATCATATGAACAGGCTTCAGGTTTGTGATATGGGCAAGATCGAAACGAAAGTCCGCTCCTGTCTGTATGAAAAAAAGCTTTTGGGAAATTGAGTGGAGACATGTGGTTCACTCATTGGGTTGTGGTGAACTCCAACTACCACTCCTTCATTAACCATAACGAAATAGGGTCAATACAGCTCACAGCAAGGCTCGGGATCGCCAAGCCGTCTCAGTCCGCCCAGCCCACTCAAGCGACATCTCAGGCTCTCTCAATGACAACCGCCCAATTGCTGATGGCTAATCTGAGAAAAAGCTTACGGATACTTTGCTGAAACCATCCGACTTTACGCCCAAATCCGTCTCACGTGTCATCTGAGCGGGTTTTTTTTAATTGAAGCGTACGTTCTGTAGTGTTCCTCGCCCTATTTTCACATAAAAGCAACGAGTCATGAAATTCGAATGCCGGCCACGCAGGATTTAGGTGGAGTATTCACTTTTTAAGCGAACTGTTAGCCAAGCTGACTTGGCATAGACCATTCTGCGTCAGTTTTTTCGATTCAACCCGCTCTTGTGATGTTCCCTCTTTACCCACCAAAGCGATGTCGTTACCTCCTTGTGTTTCGCATCTCTGTTTCTACTTGGCATGCCAACAAGGTATTTTGGAATCGGATAGAAAATACACTTCTCCTCTTCCCTATTCCCGATCTTCACTCTCTTTCTGGGCGATGTCGTCCTGGATTGCTTCTTTTTTGTATCCTGTACCAATTCATCTCAATTCATCATTCACCAATTAAGGTTGCCTACTCTCTTGCATACTGTACAGCATCATCTTGTCCCTTGGATCTTTTCTGTCTGAAAGTCTACGCTTTTGCTGCTAGCCTACCGCGGAGAGGATTGCTTCTTTAGTTTGCCCAATCCGAGCTCCAGTTTGCAGGACCAATGCGGTCGGGATGGCGGAGGATCTGGCTGTGTGTGAAAGCGACTCGCTTTCGGGATATGAAGGGAAGAACACTTCTAGCCGAATGCAATTAAGTAAGCCTTTATCTCAACCATCCGACGTCAGGGCAACAAACAAACCTTTCATGCCGTTTGAGGGGGCTAGTGAAAGGGGTTGGAAAATCAGCTTCACCCGAAGTCGAAGGAGGATTGTCTTGGAGTTATGACTGATCAGCTTGGGCTCTCTACATCCTTTGTGATGTATTCACCCTATTTCGTGTAAGGTGACGAAGGACTGGAAGTAGAATTTTCCCACAATCATATGAATAGAGCTGACGTTTCCATTGAATTGCACATCTGCTAACATACGACAAATAAGTTACGCCGTCTATTATTATATCAGAAATACATTTGCTTCATCGACAATCACACCAAAGAATGTGATATGGGAAAAAATTCCAATCTGCACTGCGAGCCAAGGGCACCCGTCAGCTCTACTCATATGATTGTGGGAAAATTCTACTATCAGTCCATCATCACCTTAAAGGAAATAGGGTGAATACATCTCATATTACTGATTTAATGGTAGCCTCGAAACTCTGCTTATATACAAAAATGCGTCCTCTCTTACTAGTAAAAATGACCCAAAATGGCGCCGAAATGAAGACTTACTGTCTCAACTAAGCAATGGGTTGGCGAAAGAAGTAAAAATCATCACAGCACAGGCAAATTTAGGTGTACACAATGATTACTTACTTGCCGGAACTTGTGCCACAACTAAAATGATGCGAAAATAAGATTAGTTAATGATAGCAAAATGTAAAAAAATAATAACCAAGTTAGTTGCCTTCAAAGTTACATCCGAAACTAAACTTGTCGGACTGATTAATTAAAATAATTTGGATCAGCCTGGTTTGCTTAATTTTATGAAAGGAGGCGTAGTTGAATTTTCCGCGATGTCGTGAGGAAGCCTTGCAGTTACACAAACTGGACTGCTGTTTTCACACCGTCTTACCTTCTCTTCAGCCCCCCTTACGAGAGGTTGAACTGGCTCGTGGTTGGGGTTAGACACCATTTGGCTCCGGGTGTTAGGGCGCGACAGGGCAGTTTTGACCTTCAAGATAAGCCAAGTGTCACTCAAGGAATTGCCTCATCCTACGTTACATGGGTCGATTAAATTTGTGAAGAAAAGAAGGGTCTTGAGGAATCTCTGGTTTCATAATTGTTGAGCTTACTTCCATTTCGAGTGAAAGTGTTTGGTGAAGAGATTCGAAGGTCGATCCCACCAGTAGACCTTTCAACCTCTTCACCAAACACTTTCAATCGGAATGGAAATAAGTACAACAACGCAAACGCAAATTTTCTTTGCATATAAGACGCTATCTAGTTCCAAATCGCTACTATTCTCAATTTAATTTCTCACATTCTAATTTCCAATTAAATCTAATGAGTACTTGTACTAATTTTCCTTACATATCTAACTATTTGTCTATATCTGTAAGCTAGATTTTAATAAAAATCAGTGGTCTAACTTCAAATCTTAGTATTGTAACCAGGGTTAGAGACAAATTTCTAAATAGTGATGAAAGCTCGGCTTAAAGAAAATGATTCGGGGACCTCGCAAACGTAAAAGTCCCAGTAAAACCCCACAACAACAGATTAACGGGAATCTGCCGTCGTATTCTGGTGAGATTTACCCACAAATTTCTTCGTCAATTTTACATTTTAATTTAAGATGCAAGTCAAGCCAATGCAAAAAATAAATCTTACGCGAGTTTAGAGTATCGCCCACATTTCATTGCATCATAATTGAATAAATAGAATTTCCCGACTGTCCGAAGGCCTTCTGGCCTTTTTCGGTACCTCACTCTTTAAATAGTAGAAACTCACTATCAATTAATTTATGACGACTATGCTATTGGTCACTTTCCAGTTTCTAGTATTTTTTATTTTGACATAGCAACTAACTAAGTAACTTATATTCAAATAAATTGCGTTTCAAGACAATCTGTAAGTCTTGAATAACAGTTCTGGTCCCCCTAAGTCACATAAAGTGATTGTTGAATTTTCCTGCATTCATATGAGTGATTCTTACGTTTCATTTGAACTTAGCATGCCCATGTTGCTTATTTAGGATTTACTAGTAGTATAAAAAACCGAATAATATAAATATAAGTAGCTTCATCAATTTTAAAGACAAAAATACAATTTTTTAATTTTGTTATTATAGTATACTATGTAAAGTAGGCTTTCGACACCTCTTGTAAAACTTGAAGAAGAATGGGAAGCATGACTGTGCGAAGTTGACTGGAAACGTAAGGCCTACTCATCTGATTATGAAAAATTTCGAATATCGGTTCTTCATTACCTTATCCGACCTGGGCTGGCAGGAACTTTCATTCGACATCGCAATCGACTACGATACTTATATTCGTATGAAACTGGCTTTGAGACCATCAGTAGATTGTGAAAAAGGGCTCTATTCGTCCTGGTTTTCATAGGCTGATGCATAATTGATAGAAGAATTTTCTCACAATTAGATGAGTCAACCTCACGATACTGCTCACGATCTACTGACAATGTCAAAACTAACACTATGTGAATTTAAGTAATATCCTCGATTTTGATGACACATACCAGTTTGCAGCAGTGAAAATCCCACTAGAATTGTGAAACCGAAGAGACATTGTCCTGTAGCTCACTGACACCAGTGGCATTGTCGCATAATGTCAAGATGTAGAACGTTTTCTCTCTACCATTCCTCACATCTCCAGGTTAAATTCAGCGTTGGAGGAGCTGATATGACATGACCTTGACGAATTATGAACTACGGCCCAGTCCAATTCAAAATACTTTCTGAGAGGCGAGGTTAGGTGAAATTCAATGGTATCTTGAGGCAAAATCTAACTATCATACCTTCATTAATTTATCTGTTCTGAGGTAAATAAAGTTCTAATTGAATAGGCAACAGTCATATAGAAGTTGTTAAATCTTATTTTCGCAACTTGGTCGTATTTTCAGGGTAACTTAAAAGAAGACATCTAGTCCGGAGTACACAGGATACATGCGAATGTGCAGAGTTTGACGATGGATTTGGTACATTCCCAGACATTTCGCCGGACTCGTCAGTTGTGGTATATGTGATTGCACCGGGACAGCAGGACAGATAGCACGAATGAAGATGCCGGCAAAATGTCAGGGAATGTACCAAATGCACTGTCCAACGCTGGAAATTGGCACGGATACTATGGCAGATGAGTCTGGTCAAGATGTGTCCCCTTAGGTTTCCCCGACGACACGAACAAGTTGCGCAAACAAGGTCAAACCACTTCACTAAAGGCCACACCTTCGATCAAACGGTCATATAAATGAAACTTAGTGACAAGGGATCATAGAGGCGTGTGAGGGTGGCTTACGTGTGGAGCAGTTGGGATTTGTGTAGCTGATTGAGCAGCTACAATAAGCGACGCCTCCGGACACTTCACAGGCTCCATCATTGCGACAGCTGACGGAAGCACAGAGATCTTCAAGGGAAAAAAGGGAAATCCGGCTCAGTTGTTCGCTTTTCTGCCAGCCTCAACATTCATTAACGTTTCAGTTGGCTTGAGCTTGACTTTGAAATATGTCTGTGAATTGAGAGAGGCCTAGAGTCGTCTGTCACCATTCAGCTGACATCGCGTCAGTGGGAAGCATCAGTCTTAACACAGAGCTACAATAATTCGTACATAAGTAAAGTTTCAAAACTAACAGTAAATAAGTAGTATGAGATGTATTAACCCAATTTTTTTCTACTACCAATTCTTCATCACCTTAAACGAAATAGGGTGAATACATCTCATTTAGAGCTACAACTTGTCGGATTGGCGAGCGTTGTGTCTTCATCAATCTGTCCAACTTTATATGCCGAAATTTGTGGTTGTAGGAAGAGGATACGGCACTGGGAATTTGAGAAGGAGTAAAGATGTTAAAACAGAAAAATGATCGAGAATTTTGCTTTTTTTCGACATTTTGTGGATGATTTGCTCGATGCTAAGGATGGCACTGCTTACTGACAATGCCAACGAAACATCTTGCGACGAGAAAAGAAGTGACTTCATTTGGAACAGATTTCAGGCCACGTTGGGTGTATCAATAATACGAAGCGAGTAGAAGGAAATGAATGGGACAACCGGGAAGGTAGAAATAAAAGGAGGCAATAAAATATGGAAATGCTGAGCGGAAGAACATGAAATGTGGGCAGAAGGAATCCGCGAAATTTCCGCTTGCGATTTGCTGGCGGACAAGACTAATACTTCTATGCCAGAATCTCAGATTGGGTGGAAGCAAGTGAACATGAAGACAGTCACAAGAGCTGATCAGAAGGTATCCATGACGATAGACAAACGTAACGAGAAGCACTGGAAGCCGTTGAAGAGGAGTCAAGACTAGTCCATACTTTCCCTCGCAGTAGCAAACAGGGCAGATTTGTGCCTTGGGGGCAGGTTGCCTCACACAAACTTGCTTGTCGACCACGGATATTCCTCGTTAAGGATTTATTTGCGAAGAAAAGTGGGATTTCAAAAAAT